CCTGCTGAATACCACCAGTCAGTCCCACTTGTCTCACCATGTGAAGCAGTTCAGCATCCACCCACCTGATAAAATACTAAAACTCCTCCCTCCCTCCCTCCCCAAGGCCCTGAAGTGTTAAATTTGTTTCCCCCAATTCAACCCCTGCAGGAGCACCCCACATTACACTCCTGAACCCCCCCCCCAAAAAAGTATTTATTTATTTTTTTTATGAGTGAAAGGATCTGTGGAGGCTTTGCATCTCCACGGGCATTTTGAACAACGTCTGCTCCGCTCCGATTGCAACCACCACAAACAAATCCAACAGCCACCGCTAATCTGATCATCTCATCCCCAGCACTTTTCATGCTGGGTTCCTCCCTCAGAACCCCTTGTACTAGTTCCAGTCTGGGAGTGTGTGATAAGACACTGGAAATTTAGTCATCATCTTCCGTGCAAAGGAGCTCAGAGGAGGGATTATGATATTCCTATAACCTTACATTGGATATGGACAGGGGCAGCTCCTAGCATGGATACAATCCTGTACATAACTGTCCGTCCAGCCCTTTTTCTCCCAGCACTATCCACTCCCTATTCCCTTTTAAAAGGTTGACTTTATAAGATTAACGCACGCTAGCCGTCATCATGTTAGCAGAGATGGCAAGGAGAAAACATAGTGTTTACTGTTGTTGAATACATTTTGCCACCCTGATAAGAGGCCTGATAAATATAAATTATAATTCTATTTAAAGTCTTTAAGAAAATGTGAGAGAAAATGGATGAGTTAGAAATGAAAAGCTTAAAAGGCTTCATGACTGACTATCTAAGAAGAGACACACTTGAGAAAATCTTTATAGTGTTAGACTTTTTACAGATTATTCCAAAGGCATGCTACACACAAAATGATGGATGTGATAAAAATCACTCTCATTCCCCACAGACATAATTTTGCTCAGGTTGGCACATTTAGATATATGTACTGCAAAAGATACAGATACTCAGATTACTTTTCTGCATTTACAGGTGCAAACAAATCAAAACACCAAGTCCACATTTTGCAAGCATGTGTCACATTCAGTTTGGCAGTTGCATGTGACTTGCTGTGCAGTTATTGTGGATGTCACTTAGAATAGTTTTTGGCTGGTCTATAATTAATTTCAGAGGCAACGGTGCACTGCATTTGCTACAGTTTGAATATATTAAAACATCTTGCTATCCTTTGGTTGAACTCATAGGAGCTGCATCAGTTACTCCCGACTCCACCTGGGAGTGGATAAACTATTGGCACATGTACTCTCATTTATCCAGCTATTTAGGCACAGTGAAGAAAACATGTCAGCTAAAAACACAAAAAATCTGGAAACTGGAAAAACTGAAATCAGGTTGGATGAGTAATGCAAACATTTTCAGCCCAATTTGATGTCTTCTCTTAAGCTTTGTGGTTTGTCTCTAGATGCACATTCATTTTATTTTAAATGCCAAGCAGAATTATATCTTTCTTTGCTCTAATAGGTTTATCTATGTGGCCATCATAGTCTTCCTTTCCGGACACAGCTGAGAGCTGAGAGATTATTAGAAAGGAAATGTGTTGTCGTTATAGCCTTATATTACAGAGTAAATCCAAATCTGAAAAAGCAAGTCCTGATTCAAACAATGTGACTCGTGATAGTTATTAAAAGACCTCTGCCTCAGGTTTTGTGGAGAGATGGACACACTAAATGGTGTCAGAAGCAAGTAATTATGTAGCAGCCACTTTGTAGAGCTGCTCGTCACGTCGCATAGTTCACAGTTCACTATCATTTCCTGAGAATCTACTAAGCAGCATCTAATCATGAAAGAATCCCAAGGTGTATCTTAGTCCATTAGCGGAGCCACACTCGCAGTATAACATCAATCAAACATCTTAATAGTCTGAGCACAGCTCTGTCATATATACAGTAAGCTCATTGTTCTGTCACATTTAAAAAGCATATATTAGACACTTTTGACAGGTGATGTTAAATATTGATTATGATGCATTTGAAATGTTTTAAGAGCCTTTTCTCTGTCTCTTTCTCACTGTCGCTCTCTTCTTCTCATTCTCTTTTTCTGTTCCACTTTACAGTGCAGTAAGTTCACATATTTTACCTCCTGTGATACAGGCTCATTCAAAGTCAGATTAAATTAGGGCAGGGCTGTCTCAGTGAGATCCAGAGTGACAGAGATGTCCCAAGCTACAGGAAGCAGCAGTTACAGTTCCACCACCACCACCAACCCCCAGCCAACCCAGGCCCCGCACTTCCCACATCTCCCATTAATATTTCATTAGGTAACCTTAGAAGCAAAGTATAAGTGAACAGGCACGTTCGTGCGTGTGGAGTGTGCATATATCCACACACACACACAGAGTAATTCTCAGTCACACACATACACTGACTATTCTTTTTCCCCGGTTACTGCCACACAGGTTTGCTGAGTTTCCGTCTAGCCAGACGTGTGAGGAAAGCTAAGCCCCCCCTCCCTCTTTACTTCTGCTCCTCTTCCACCTCCTCCTCATGGAAGATTTAGCTTTCATTCATTTATCCTCATTCAGGATGACAAAAATCAATCATTTCATTCTCTCTGGATGGCTACCCATTAAGAATGGGGACAGCAACTGAAATGAAATACACATTTCCCTCAGCTGATCCCCCCCTGTGATAGATTTGTGCAGCTACAAATGGGTGGAGGTAAGATTTCTGAAGTCAGAATAGAAGTGTTTGTACCATATGTCTTCTAATCACCCTCATTGCACAGACACCGGGTTGTTGATAACGTTCTTATCTCAAAGCAAATGCATAGTGAGTTGTTGACTGTAGTAAGCCAACCGTGTCATATAGAATCAGGCTATGAGTCACTTTTCCAAACAGAATTTAGCACTTTGTCAAAGCCTACTGAGTCTTATGAGGAAAACACATGTTTCTCATATAATAGATTATTTGTAAAGGAATGTGGCTTTATTACAATAAAGGCATGCAGCAAAGACGAAATAAAACACACGAAGGGCAAAGAAGAGAAGTTGGGAGCGCAACCAAATTTGAGCTCCAGAAAGGGAAAGGAAATTCCTTCTGCTTTCCTACACCACCACAATCCCTTAATATGTATTACTTTGTCAGTGTACTGGAATCTCTATACTGTATCTGTCAGTGTTGACTCTGGGGTTTCACCAATTTCTTATGCAGATAATAGTGATTTTTTTTAATGTATTCCAAAGGGGAACAGTGTAATGATCTGACGTTCAGGAGTGGAACCTCACCCGGACTCTGTTTTTACACTGTTTAAACCCACTGAAACCGCTGTATTTCCACTTCTACTTTTCATTAACCGCTCATCCACCCCCCTTTTTTATTCTAATCTTTTTCCTCTATTTTTTTTATCCCTGTTGGGGGTAGACCCCCTCAGTCTTCCCCAAAGCCATCAAGTTCACAAGCATTCTCTATCCTTATACTTCCATTTGTACGTAGTGAGGGCAGGTCCCCGCTAGAGAATTAAACTTTTATATAATAAACAAAAAAGATGACACCATGGTCTGTGCATCAGAATATAACATCACTAATTTACATAAAAAGACAAAAATAGTTTTGTCACAGCTTTCACTTGATCCTAATTTCTGCCAGGTCAGCTTCACTCTTTTTGGTTGTTTAGAGTGTCTGAAGTGTATTTTCTCTGGGTATTTATTGAAAAGACATATCCAACCCATCAGTATTCCACTAAGGTGGCAATATTGTTTCAATTTGAATAAAAATAAGTACTATCCATTTGACAGAGCTTTGAAAAAGCATGTATCATGTACCAGCCTTCAGCATGACTTGTGACATTAAAATAAAATAGATTTGGGATGTATCCTTGCAAATGAAATGTATTATAGATGTCAGTGAGCTATATGAGATATTTATTCTTAAGTTATACTACTCTTTCTTATTATTTTTCAGGATTTGTATTCATGGATTCTTGATCTTCTGAAGCACTTTTGTATGAATGGTCAAAAGCCTACATTAAAGTGATATTTTTCTATGGACATTATATCTTGATGTTATTTACAACTATCATTTTTTATAAAACACAAGGAAATATATAAAACTATATTTAAAACATAAGCGCAGACGCACACCCACACACACGCACAAGCATGCAGGCTGATGATATCTTTCCTCTTTCTGACATTTTCATTTGTTGCAACAGCATGTTCCATTCCAATTTTGTTTTCTACAATGCTCATTGCTCACACTGAAAAAGGATACCGAGGTCCACGCTGTGTAATGAAATGTGTTCTAAAGCCACAACCTGTACGAGAGGACTAAATGACAAAAGGGAGCAGTAAATTGGCTGGGACTCACACCTGTTTGGAATGATTAAGCTGTAGCAGTTCTTTTTTTCCCCTCTTTCAACAAATGACTGCAGCAGTCGACAAAAGGTGTTGATTCAGAGGGCAAATTAAGCCTTGAACAGGCAAGATAATGTGCCTGTGATCAATTAACACAGACACAAGGTGTACCGGTTTCACTTTGAAACTTTCAGGCCCAGCCAACAGGCCCCTTTGTGCTTTTCAGCTGAGCAGCACTAATCATTTCCGTGGCTTGCTTCTAAAGGCAGCCCTGGACTCAGAATATGGATTTTGCCTGGGGACTCTCCCCAGGCAATGAACTGACTAGTCAAACACGTTCACAGCAGCCCTAATCTTACTCTAGGACACTGACTTGACATGAGAGACTGTATAACTATATTTTTACACATGACCTTTATTGGGTTTCTCTGTTTTTACTGGTGCAAAATAGAGAGCGGTCTTTCACAATTCAGTTGGGGGATCAACTGAGTCAAGACCAGAAATGCGTCTGAAGTCCAAGATACAACCTGTGCATTATTTCTCTTTGTAGAGCTTGCTTTAAATATATTGAAAAGTGGTTGAACAGCAGTTAATAGTCTCTCCAGTTCACAGTATAGGTCTGATCTCTGTCT